ACTAAAGTCCCCATTTTAGAGACAAGAAAGGACAGAGAAAGAGGCAGTAACTTGCTCAAGGTCTCAAGGACACATGGCTAATATGTATCAGAGGCAGTTTGGCCCTTACCTGCTAACTGCCCCTGTGATATTCATTTGTGCTGTTCAACCAACATTGTTGGTGCTCCTCCCCCCAAAACAAGATACATGAGTATGATTATACCTCCTACTATCATCACTGGTGGGGGCACATGACTACCTCTGACCAATGAGTTGTGAATGAAACTGGCACATCCCTTCTGGGCCAGAGCATATAATTGCAGAAACAAGACCCTCCAGGGCTCTCTTGCTCTCTGGCACAGTGACCAGCAATGTATGAAATGGTGGCTATTCTATCAGCCAGGGATCTGAAGTAACTATGCCCATCACTGACCCAACCTAAGTTGGTTTTTTATTCTTGCTATAAACACACAGGTCAGAAGTCTGCCATGAGTAAAACCAAGTGTCAGCAGGGCTGCATTCCTTTCTGGAGGCTCTAGAAGAGAATTAAATGTCCTTGCCTGTTCCAGCTTCGAAAGGCTGCTGGCATTCCTTGGCTTGTGGCCCTCTCTACCATCTTCAAAGCCAGCAGCAGTAGATGGAGCCCTTCTCACATTACATTACTCTGACTCTAACTTCTACCTCTGTCTTCCACTTTTAAGAGCCTCTGTGATGACACTGGACCGCCCAGATAATCCAGAATAATTGTCCTACGGTCAGCTGGTTTAGCAACCTTAATTCCATCGGCAACTGATGCCTCTTGGCCATGTAACCTAATATATTCACAGGTTCTAATATGTGACAACTTTTTGGGGGGAGTGGGGAGGTTGTACTCTTCTGCCTACCACAGTACTTTATAGCAATCACATCAGCCCTTCTGGGGTGAGGCCCAAGCATCAATACTGTTTATAGGTCCCCAGATAATTTCCATGTACTGACAAGTTTGAGAACCAGTGCCCTATGTTACATATGTGGAGAGAATATACTTAGTCCTCTACTTTCATATTGCCTCTCATGTTCACATGACAGATATAAACCCCACACATGCACAGAAGAACATCACACAGTTACATACCCACGCATCTGCCATGCTAGTCGCAGTCGGAGACTCTGTTCATCACATTTTAACTCCATCCTTTTCGCTTCCTCCCCGCCTCCCAGTCCTCATCTTCCTTCTGGCCCTGGATGCGTGCATGTGTACATAGACAAACATGAGGTATTTTCCCATTCGTTGCCAAAATAAGCTGTTTTCCCTGTGGTGGCCTCCCAGAGAGACCGAGTTATGCTGGTGGTTTTCCAACATGCACATTTGCTCCTCAGAAATGGGGCAGAGTCAGCCATTTTCTTTCATAGGAACCAAGAGGCTCTGAGGATAAAAATTATATCCCTGCTCGGACTATAATCAGCCTCTACTGCTCGTGTATCTGTAGGTGTTGAGAACAGGGCTGCGGCCCCCGCTGGACTGTTACTGTGATCTGAGTGTGCACTGAGGAATCAGGACTGTGGAGAAGGAGACCACTTTGGTTGTAAATATCTCTATTTGATTGACTGACCTACTGAATTATTCTCTTGGTTTTCATTAATGAGAGAAACAATAGGCTAAGATAAAGGCCAACCAGGCCATTTTGGAATCAAGTATCAAAACCTTACTAGCAAAACACATTGTACTTAGAACATAACCACAAAGCTGAAGGGTCAAATGATCATCAATTTAGAAATTCAGTTTCCAATCTCCTCATATAGATTTAAAAAGGGCCTGACCAGCACCAGGGATTATCCTGTTCATATATCAGTGACCAAGCCTAAGGAGGACTAGGGTGAGCAGTTTAGTGGCAATGCCAGTGAGGGGAGACCTCAGTGTGCAGTGGACCTGGGCTGGTCGCTGGTGAAGGTGCGGTCAGCAGGAGAGAGCAGCGGAGGCCAAACCAAGGTCATCTCATGCAACAGAGTTTAGTGCTTCCGTTCAAGGTGAACTGCATGGGAGGCTGGGCACAGAGGGCTCCGTCAGACTCCCAGACACTGTTCATAAGGAAGAACTGTGGTGCTGGTTTACTAGGAACGTCCTTCAAGTTCACACTCAAGAGGACAGGGCGTTTTGAAAGGAACACAAACAAGAAAATGAACGGGACTGAGCTGACTGAAGTAGATGTTGCTGAGACCTAATTCTGGCATTGGCCAAACCTTCAAGCAGGGGTGGGGAACGTCCGGCCCTCGGGCTGTATAAGGCCCGAGAAATCACTTGGGCTGGCCCTGCCACGGAATTAGGAGTGAGTTAATTAAATGTCTGACCAAATATAGCAGCTAATGTTTAAGTTGATAATGTTGTATGGCCCGAGAATGATGTTATAAATATCCACATGGCCCTGGGCAGAAGAAAGGCTCCCCACTAAAGTCAGCACCACGAAGAGCCAGAGAGGCACCGCTCTGGTGGATAAAACAGCTGGTTCAGCCGTCTCTGCCAGTGTGTGCCAGTCCCCATCATTCTTTTTGATGTTCAAATATCCCACATTTGGCCAATCCTCTTTATGTCTCTCTGTCAACCTTTGCGCCTTTCCCTTCCTGAAAGAAACCAAGGTGATAAGGATGACCACTGTCTCAAGAGCATCAATACTGGGACTGAGGGGACCAGTGTGTCCTTTGGAAGAACCATGAAATAACTACTATGCTCCCTGAAGGACACAAAATGCTCAGAGGTCGCCTATGCTTACCAGTGAACTACCAGTATAAAGGCATGCTAGAGCCAATCAGCAGAATTTTCATGTTGAAAGGTTAGGAAGGGAACGTGGTAGGCTGAATAATATAGACCCTCATCCTGATCCCTGGAATCTGTGAATGTTAACTTATATGGCAAAGGGACTCTGCAGGTGTGTTAATAAGTTAAGGATAAAAAAGGGGAAGGGATTAAGATATAAAATTACCAGCTATAAAAATAGTCATAGGAATGTAAAGTACAACATAGGGAATATAGTCAATAATATTGTAATAACTGTGCATGGTATCAGATGGGTACTAGACTTACAGAGTGATCCCTTTGTAAGCTATATAAATAACTAATCCCTTTTTGACCTCCTGAAACTAATAGACTATTGTATGTCAACTATAATTGAAAAAATAATTATAAATAAATTAATTAAAGATATGAGATGCAGAGATTATTCTAACATGCAGCAAAGTACAGAAACTATTGAACTAGAGAAAAGACTAGATAAGGACATGCTGGCGTGGTTGCTTATGTGGGAAAAATGTATGGGAAGTCAGCAAGTCACCTCACCCAAGAATGAACCATCAATCCTTAACCATCTACCCACAGATGACTACACAGTGGCCTATCTAAGCACGTCATAGGATGGCACGCTTCCCCAGTGTGGTGTCCCTTCTAGTCTGACCCACTGCATATGCTACATTTCCTTGGGACAAAGAACAATTACACATGTGACAGGCAGACTTTCTACAGAGCTAACTTTCTTACCAATACCACCTTTCACGGAAGGAACAGGCCAGTGACTACATTATATGCTAACACATGAATCAGCACATTCACATGAACACTATCAGGAAAAGGACTACACTGTCTGCCTCTCTGGGCTTACACTACGGAAAACCACTATTAGGACTGTAAAGATGGAGAGTTTTTTATTTGCTTTAGTACTCTATTTACTTGCGATAGGTTATAGATGGAAATTGTTTATATATTATTTATTTGGGAACAAATTAACTCATTCTTCATAGAGATCCAGAAAAGTACTACTTGTACAATTTTGACAGGGACAGCCCTCCCTCCAGAGCGAGCGTCTGCCTGCTCCTGGGGCTTCCTCATACATGATATGTTTACTAAACAGCCATTCCATCATGAGCCTCCATAGTACTATCACCAACAGCCAAACGCATAAACTCTTACTTCTTACTTTTCTCTCCCTACTTTGTCTTCCCCAGAGAGGAAGCTAGTGAAGTAGAAGAGGAAGTCACAGGAGAATCAGAAGACCTGTTTGGAATTTCAGTTCCATCCTGTATAAGTGATGTCATGTTAGGAGTCCCTCAGCCACTCTGAGCTCTGACTCTAACAAACTGATACCATTGCCTTCACAGTGTTAATGAAATAAAACAATACAGATGAAAGTGCTCGGCACATAGTAAGAACTTCATGAGGCCCAGCTTTCACACATCACCCCGTGCTGAAGCCTCTCACGTCTCGTCTTCCGTCGTCCTCTCATGAGCTCTGGCCCCGTATCTCCCACCGTCTCCTCAATGCTCCGGCTCCGATCTCTTACTGGCATCTCCAAATGGACATGTCTAAACTGGACTTATGATCTGCACTCACAACCATGACCCTCCAACTGCCCTGACCGTGTCCATCAGTTAAAGTGCCATCGGTCCCCCGCCCCATCCTTCCTTCTCCATTCCCACTGCTCAACTCTCGCTCAGGCTCAGAGCCTCCCAGCTCACACCTCAAGCGCAGGAGCCTGTCAGGTAAAGCCCTGTCTCTTCCAAGCCAGCCTGCTTGTGGACTGCAGATGAGCCTCTCTTCAAACAGATTCACCACATCGAGCCCCGAATAAAGAAAGATCCTCAAGCACTTTCTTGCCCTGCAGCTGGCATCTGTGATGGAGGAGGAGCCAGCTCCACTGGGCATGCAGAGGACAGTTCCAGCAGCTCCCCTGTGCCTCCCATCAGCATGCCAGGCACTGAACAACTTCACTACATGATGCACGAAGGAAAGCTCTCAGAATAGATGGATCGTAACACAAAGTATTTTTAAAAGCAGTTCCAGAGAACTGGAAATTTTTTATCAAACTTCTTTACACAGTATTGAGTAACTACAATCAAAATCTGCTACAAACCACCCTCAATTGCATTAAATATAATAATCCATTGATAGTAAACCACGTTACATGTTTTATAATATTACAGTCATTTAACAAATATCCAAGCCTTCAGTATTTATACTAAATAGCAAAGGTGGTCAATCTCAGAGATGTTCTTACCATTTTGTTCCTCCAGTTCATTCCCAATCTCTTGCCCCATTTGTTTTTGGCGACTTATGATAGAAGAAAGGGCATCGAGGCCTGCATCCTGTTCTGAAAGAAAAAGTAAAACAATTAACTAAAAACCGAAGGAAACCATTTAAAGTCCAGAAATATACCCAGGCATATAACACAACTCAATATACAATAAAAGTAACATTTTAAATCACTAGGAAAAGGCGAGAGAAAACAGTTAACACTATTGGAACAAAATGAAGGAAAAAAATTAAGTACCTACCTCATACCTTAAACGAAATGATTTCCAGATGAATTAAACTTTTAAATATTAGAAATGAACATGAAATTTGACTATATAAACATTTAAACTTTCGAATATTTAATATACAAAGAGCATGTGCAAATCAATAAGAATTAATCTTCCAAGTTTTAAAATGGGCGAAGGATATAAACAAGAAATGAAAATGAAAAAGAATGCGAATACCCAGGGTTAACGAAGTGTGAAGAACTAGAAGCTCCTACGTACTGCGTCATGGGAGGACAGTTCACATACCTTTCTGGAGAGCAAATTGTGCCTACCTTTTTATCTGTCAGCTCTACGTCTACAAATGGATGTACGAAAGCATCAGACGGCATGCAAGATGTACATCCAATGACATTCCTCGGAACATCGCTTCCTGTGCTAGTTATCAATGTATTACCTCTCAGCTCCAAATTGACCGCCTTTTGACCGCTCTGTGAAAATGGACCTGGGTCCTTTAAATATTTTTCCCTTTGCCATCTTTGTCAGTAGAGGGGACTACAGAGACATCATAGGAGGAAAGGTTTGCTTCCTGCCTCCAGCCCGCTCTCTCGCCAGGCTCCCGCAGCCTTCCAGCTTCTCCAGTGTCCTCCAGCGCACAGAGGCCAGCAGCACCCCAAGGTCAGCAGGGCACCCCCTCTGTGGGAGTTCCATAACAGAGTGCCTCCACTTAGACACTTCCCCAGGAATAATATCCCTAGCATCCGAGAGGGCAGATACTAGCAGATTGTCTGGCTGCAAACCACAGGGACTTCTCTGAAATCGTTACTCTAATGTCCTGTTATAGTTAATAATTCTGTATATTAAACTTTCAACCCTCTTTCTCCTAATTGGACCCACACTGATACATTTATAATAGTGAAAAACTGGAAACTATCCAAATGCCCAAACACAATGATTTGTTTAAAAATGTATATATAGCCATGTAATAAAATACTACAGAGCCATTAAAAGTGATATGGTCCATGGATATTTTGATGTTGAAAGAAATCTCTGATATATTATTAAGTGTAAAAATGCAGGACACAAAACAATAAAAAGTAAAAACAGCATTTTTGTTTTTTTAAATGTATTGCTTTTCTAGATTGTGAAAATTTAAAGAAAAAAGAACTCAAAGTACTTTCTTTAAAATTTTATATTGGTTTGTCCTTTGCAGTCTCAGTAATCTCTTTGTAAGAACCATTTTCTTTGCTTTCAGGTGCATTTGGAAGAACATTCTGAGGCTGAATCTAAGGACTCTTTCTACCCAGGCAATATGCCAGACGAGGGTAACATGCCAATTGTGGCTTCATTTGTTGACGGGGTTCTTTTCATGACTAGTTCACATAAAGGCATATCTTCAAAAGCTGAAATCACAACCGTCTTCTTATGCAAGATCACGTTAACGTTGACTTGTATTTTTTCCTAGTCTTTTTATGGAATTAAGCCATTGCGCTTAACTCATTAATTCATCTGGAATTTATTTAAACTAATGGTGTGAGGTAAGGACCCCTCAGTGACATTTTTTGACACTACGTATTTTTCAAACTATACAAATGACCTGCTTTCTCCAGGGATCATTCTAAGGGACCATTTTATAGCAAAATCTCTTTATAATGAGGTCCTTTTGGTCTTTAGTAACAACCTCTTGGATGGCCTCCAAGATAAATCTATCATCAACCTAGTGCTGCTATAGGATGACCAATATAGCAAAATTCCAAATGCATCCCAAAAAGAATCTACATACAGGACTGAGGGTCGAGAGTCAACATGAATTAAAAGGTAAAACAACTTAAAAAGAGGAAAGACAATTCCTCTACAGTTTTCAATTAGAAAAAGAATCATTAAAGTTATGAAGTTGCTTTATCTAGTAGAGACATAGATTATGAATGAAAAATAACTACTCTGCACTCTTTTCTCTCAACCTTGACTCGTGATATGGTTTAACTACCTAAAGGTTCTTTCTAATGCAAAACAGAAAGAGGGATAAACATTCTGCTCCACTGCAATCATTTCTGTAAGAACTGAGCACCTCCCCACTATGGTTAAGAGAATAACATTTTCATTCCAGAATCCAAAGACACAGACAGTCCAGGGGCCTGAGACACTGCATATGTAATGATGATATTGATGACCTAAACTTCTCCAGATCCTAAAGCAGCAATTCCAAGGGGAGGTGCTACGGTCATCTTAGAGACAATGAACCAAGTAAAATACTGCTGCTTACAAAAATATAAACAGACAGTCATGCAGCACCATGCAAACCTATGATGTCATACTGAGTAGCTCATTACTGTCATCTGCCCTACCCTATCACATATCCCAAGTCATTCTGTCACAATCGATCATTTGCAACGTACAACAGTCTATTAATCATTCTTCGATTTTATAATGATGTTAATTTTTTAAAAATGGGTAACCATTGTGATACGTAGAATAATGTGCCCCCTAAAGATTCCCATTTCCTAATCCCTGGAACCTGGGAATATATGAGCTTACTCGGCAAAAGGAACTTTGCAGTTGTGAGTAAGATTAAGGCACTGGAAATGGGAGATTATTCGGATTGTCCAGGTGGACCCAGTGTAATCATGAGTCCTTAAGACAGAAACCTCTTCTAGCTGCAGTCGCAGGGAGACATGAAGAAGGATCTGAGAGATGCAACTACAGGCTTTGAAGACTGAAGCAGGGAACGACGAGACAGGTTGGCGGCCGCTAGCAGCTGGAAAAGGCCAGGAGATGCACTCTCCTCGGGAGCCTCCATCAAGGAAGCCAATGCCTCTGCCCAGCCCAGAGACCCACAGTGAACTTCTGACCTACGGGACTGTAACATAATAAGTTTGAATTTTAAGTCACCAAATTTGTACTAATTTATAATGACAGACTAGAAAATGAACACAATCATTTTTTTAAATCCCTTTGGAATAATTAGGTGTTTGGAGATTTTCTATCTTTAGATATTCAGAAAAGCCATCTTCTAACTAAATATCATGTAATTGTGGGAGGACTATCTGGTGGCTGCAGATTAAAAATAAAGAGTCATCATACTGCACTCTTACCAAAAATAACAAACTTGATTCTGATCAAGCCACTAAATCTAACTACCAATTTACAGAAAATATGCGGGACAGAGGAATATTGTAATATATGGGCATACAAATAGCAAGATCGAGATGATGGGAAACTACACGGCAAATGACCCTGTTTCTTCGACCAAGAAAATGCAAAGGAAAAAAAAAGAGAGAGAGAGCTGGCAACGGAACCTATCTATTAAAGGTACCGAAGGGACATCAATTAGTTGCAATATACAGACTATATTCAGATCATGAATCGAACAAACTAAAAATAACAAAACCCAACATCATGGGACAATCCAGGAAATCTGAACACTCGATGTTTGATTATACTATGGAATTATTATGAACTTGCTAAGGGTGATAATGGCGTTGTAATTATATTTTTAAAAAACAGTCCTTCTCTGTTTAAAACATACTTTAGAGACATATTCTGGAATATTCACCCATGAAATGATATAATAAATACCTGAGATTTGCTTCAAAAATAATCCATGGAATAGGTAGTTGGGTAGACATATGGATGAAACACAATGGACTATGGATTGATAATTGCTGAAACAATTGACGGGTAGACTGGAATCATTATCTTACTCTCTCTACTTTTATGTTTGGAATTTTCCACAGCAAAAAATTATCAACATTTTAACAAGTAAATAAAACAGAGGGACAGTTCTAAGAGCTGCAGCCTCAGGCCCCTGACTAAGCACATGACAAGGGCCCCTAGAGCTGGGCTGTGTCTTCTTTTCCTATGTCTTTGTCCCCGTTCAGAGCCCAACTGGTGGCACAGCGCAAGTATTTAATAAATTATGTGAAATCAAGAATAACCAAAGAGACCTCTAGGTCTGTAGAAGAAAGAAATTTAGTCTCTACTAGACATACAAAAGGGCTTCTGGTCAATACAAGAAAGCCTTCTAAGTTCAGGTAGTAGAAAAGTCGTTGAGGTTTACTGCCCAGTGCCCAGAGAGAAGCAATGGAAATTCTCACGTTTTACATATAGAGTGAGCTCTCCCTGAGTAAGGAGAAGTAAGGAACAAATGAGGAAAAGATTAGGTCAAGCTGGATAAAGCTAATCACTTTCCCAGCATTGGAAAGACTCTTAGAGCAAGATCTAAGAATAGATGATTTTATTTTGAGATTTTAGTGAAAGATTCCTTGTCTAGGTGATAGTTACAAGAAAAAAAGTTGTCTGTGAAGTACGGATTGCAAGGGTTTAAAGATAAGCTATTAAGACTTGCTGGAATCTGGCTAGCCACCTTCCCACCACTATTTTACATAAAAATATTTAGAGGCCTAAGAACACAGAAATCTAGAAAAATGTGCGGCTTTCTGCTAGAATCCAGAAAGGACACCTATAAAATAACAGTTAAGAAACCATCAACAAAGACCTCCTGAGTGAAGGTAGAACAATACCTCATACCTTCTCCAAGGTCTGCCGTCGACTCAGAGACAGGGGTCTGTATTAATCACAAAGTTACCTTCCCTTGTTCTATCTCGGGAATTTTTGAGGAGATCTAGATACTGTCATCACCTCCTCCATCTCATGCTTAATGTCCATTTGTGCCTCAAATTACAGCATGACTAACACAGAAGCCAAGACCGGCTGACTGGCTGTAACAAGGCCTAGCTTCTAGCTTAGGCGAGGAAGGCATTCGTTGCCGAGTCCAAGGTCTGCCAACAAACTGTTATTTTAGGATGATTTTCAGAGTGTTTTTAAGGGTCAACTAAAGTACAGAAAGGCTAAC